CTCTTCGTAAAGGATCCTTAGACTCTTGGTGGGGACAACAGGGCACCTATAGGCCACTTTGGATAGTGTGGGCCTTTTATCCATGTTGATCTAATCTACAAACACAGAACACCTTTCCATTTGTCTCTCTTTTCAATTTCTTTCATTAGTATTTTATAGTTTTCAGTGATCAGGTATTAGATTCTTTGGTTGAGCTTATTCTGAAGTACTTTATTATTTTTACAGTTTTTTAAAAAGGAATTTTCTTGATTTCTTTTTAGATTGTTTTTTGTCTACATGTAGAAATGTTACTGATTTTAAAAAATTAATTTTGCATTGCGACCCAAGTTTCCTCTCCCTCCTCTCCTTCTAGTTTCTCCCCCCACTTCCCCTCTTCTTTCCCCTCCCATCCACGTCTCCTCCATTTCTATTGAGAAAAGGGCAAACCTTCCATAGATATTGACAAAACTTTAGCATATCAAGTTGTAGGAAGACTAATCACCTCCCCATATGTATTAAGGCTGGTCAAGGCAACCCAGTATGAGGAATAGAATCCTAAAAGCCAGTGAAAGAGTCAGAGACAGCCACTGTTCCCACTGTTAGGATTCCCACAAGAAGACCAAGACACACAACTGTCACATATGTGCAGAGGGCCTAGGTCAGTTCCGTGCATGCTCCCTGGTTGTTGGTTCAGTCTCTGTGAGCTCCTATGGGTCTAGGTTAGTTAATTCTGTGGCTTTTCTTGTGGTATGCTTGACCCCCCTGGCTTCTACTTCCTTTAGCAGGATTCCCAGAAATGGCCATCTCCTATGATTGGACAAGACTTCCTGTGGAGGGTTTGGGATGCCAACTCAGCCACACAACCTTGGACCTACAGTCTGTTCAGCCTATGGGGGGTGTGCTGGGGTTAAGAGTGGCACAGACTATGGGAGTGGCCAACCAGTGACTAGTCCAGCCCAATACTGATGCCATGAGGATGAGCCCACTCCTTAAAATGCCTGGGCCACCAGGACCCAGAGGCTGGACTACCCAGAGACCTAGGATAGAACCAAACACTACTGGAGGAAAAAATGTCATTGTTATTATTCCTAATGATATTCTGCTACATTCATAGCTACATTCATATTGGTGCCTAGATCGACAGTCACCAGAGAAGTTTCATCCAGAAACTGGTGGAAACAGATGCAGAGTTCCACAACCAAACATTAGGCTGAGCTCAGGTAATCCTGCAGAAGAAATGTTACTTATTTCTATACATTGATTATACACTCTGTATTTCACTGTCTTTATTCATATATAAGTGTGTGTGTGTGTAATCTTTAGGATTTACTACACATATGATATGCAATCTGAAAACATAATAAAAACAGCAAGAAATTAACTCCCTCCTTTCAATGTGGACACCTTTCATTGCTCTTTCTTGTCTATTATTCTGCTTGGGACTCTCAGCTCCATGCTGAATAGAAGCTTTGCACCTCATTTAAAGGGAAGTTTTCTGTAGCAGTTTCCTCCAAAATTAAAACCTTCTGTTGTGGAGGGAATCTCATTAATATAAAGATATTAAAAGAGGTGCATCTAAGGGAGGTGAAACATTTCATCCCTCAGGGAAGCTCATTTAGCTCAGGAAATAAACAACTCAGCAGTAACAGGAAGTCCCTGAAACTGACCAGGGTTACTCAGTCTCTCCCTTCTCAAGAGTATAGCAGCTCTAAGGACTGTCAAGACACTTGGAAGTGACTCAGGCCAGCTGAGTTACCCAGAAAAGGCAATCTCCAACCCATTGAGCTATCTGTAGGCTGGGCTTTTGTTGAAGCAGTTGTCTTTGATGGGTTTTGCTCTTGTAAACATCCCCTTACCAATATGCTTGTAAGTAACCCCATCTAAGCTCCTTGGCTCGCCAGGATGGACTTGGCCTTACTTTGGTCTGTCACTGGTTCTTATCTGGGGTGGGCACATGTATGTTTACATCTGCCCAGGAATAGTGTCACACCACAGGTGAGTTTCATGTTAGTTGTGGACTTATCATATATGTCCTTGACTATAATAATTTTTAAAATTTACATAGTCTAGCATGGCACTGAATACAATTCTTAAGTAGCAGTTTGATATAGACAATAATATAGATTTAAAAATGATTATTTCTTTCCTGAGATATCTTGACAGAGGGGGCCACTGGGGGTTAGGGAGAAACCTGGTGCCAGGGAAACTCCCAGGGACCCACAAGGATGGCCCCAGCTAAGACTCTAGCAATAGTGGAGAGGGTGCCTGAACTGGCCTTCCCCTGTAATCAGACTGGTGACTACCCTAATTGTCATCATCCAGTAACCAATGGAAGCAGAATCAGAGACCCACGGCCAAGCACTGGGCCAAGCTCCGGGAGCCCAGCTGAAGAGAGGGAGGAACAATTATATGAGCAAGGGAGGGGTCAAGACCATGACAGGGAAACCCACAGAGACAGCTGACCTGAGCTTGTGGGAGCTCATGGACTCTGGACAGACAGCTAGAGAGCCAGCAGAGCCCTTTGTATCTGGGTGATAGTCATGTAGCTTGGTCTGTTTGTGGGGCCCCTAGCAGTGGGACCAGAACATGGCCCCGATGCATGACCCTGCTCTTTGGAACCTATTTCCTATGGTAGGATGCCTTGTTCAGCCTTAATGAAGCAGGGAGGAGCTTGTTCCTGCCTCAATTTGATATGCCATGCTCTGTTGACTCCCATGGGAGACCTTACCCTTTCTGAATGGAGACGGAGGAGGAGTGGATGTCAGGGAGGGAGAAGAGAGGTGGGAGGAGGGAACAGGAGGAGAGGAGGGAGAGGAAACTGTAATTGGTATATAAAATAAATACATAAAATAATTTAAAAAACAAAACATGATTATTTCTTTCCTATTTGACACTTCTTCTGGTGTAAGATGAGCATACAAATAATTCTTTAGATACTGATGGTCCCCGTGGGATGAAGAACTCTGGGGAATGCCTGTATCTCAGGGTGCCTGAGGCTTCTCTCTTGGTAAACTCTTGGCTTAGACTTGGTACCCAAACTTGGAAAGAGGGAAATAAAATGACTCCACTGAGCCATTCCCTTTTTGCATAAGATTGGCATTGAGTTGAGAAAAGATGTGTTCAGAGTAATCACATTTGTGAGGTTCTTACTCTGATAAGTAACAAAAGATGTGTGGTCATCAGAGTACCAGAGTACTCCTGGGTGCCGTGGAGGTTTGCATGAGAGATGTCCTCTCTGGTGTTTGGTCATGCGGTCCTTAGGTGGAGGTGGTGTTTGGGAAGGCGGTGCAGCCGAGGGAAGTATATCACCGGGGGCAGGCTTTGAAGTTCATAGGCTCGCCACTTCCAGTTTGCTTTCTCTGCTTTGTGTCTGTGGTTGAAGATGAGAGCTCTCAGCTCCCTGTGCTTGCCACATGTCTCCCTATTGTTGTCATGACTCCAACCATGATGGGCCCTATCCCTCTGTAACCATATGCCAAAATAAATTCTTTCATTCATAAGTTGTTTTTAGTCATTGTGTTTTATCACTGCAACAGAAAAGTCACCAACACAGGAGCCATTGTTGATAACTATATTTTCAAAAAATAGAATCTCCATGTCAACAAAAAACACATGCCTGTGTTTATTAGTCACAATCCCCTTATATTCTTTGCTGTGAATGGAGCCTGGGACTTTGGACATGCTAAGCACATGCTCTACCATCTCTGCAATGATTCTTTGGATTCAAATTTGTTTTGATTTTTTTGTAGCAGAATTTGAAGATACTTTTATTGCTTCAGGTGGAATAAAAGAGAAGTAAGTTCTCTTAACTCTGTTCTTTCTAATGCAAGAGTAAGGAATGAGCCAAAAGAATCAATAAGAAATAGTGGTGCTGGGGACCGCTCTCTGGATATGTCATGTCAAAAAAAAAAAAAAAAAAAAAATGTATCACCGGGCGATTTGCCTAGGCTTCTTCTGATATCTCTCATTTTAATTGAAATCATGTGTATTTGTGTGTGAATACGTGAGGGCTCTCAGAGGTCACAAGGGGGCCCTGAGACATGGCCACCTGACCTTGAGTTACTGGCAGTTTTGAGCCACTTGACATTGGGGCTGCGATGTGAACTCCGTCCTCACCAAAGGCAGTATGCGTTTTGCTAACTGAGCTGCCTCTCCAGCCCCTCCTGATCCCCTTTGACCGCTTTCTGATTTTCAATGCTGGGGACTGGATCAAGAGTCTCAGGCACATTGCTAAGTGCTTTACTAGCCACACCTCAAACCCTCAACCTCATTTAACCTCTACCCTTCAGAGCCTGCTCTAAGATGCCTTTCTGAGTTACGGCTGGGAAATAAAAATCCCAGGATGATTTCAGGGTCAATGTCCTGAGGAAATTTCGCACTGAGAGCGGTCATAGCTATAAAGCCATGCCTGAGATAGAAGGAAGTACCAGCCACATTGTCACCTGCTTGTCACTACAGACTACATCTGGGGCATCTTGTGGGCTCACTATTTTGAGTTCACCAACTACATTATCTGAGTGGGAGATGAGACCTTTCCCATCACTGTCCTGAGGGGTGGCGGCTTCCAAACTACCACCCAGGGAACTTGGATTCCACAGCAGTGTCTGTCTATCTGGCATCCCAGGAGGATGAAGAAGAGATGGCTGTGCACACACTACCCCAATCACAACAGCACACACCCCGGATGATCCCAGATGGGGATCCCCAAGTGACCCCCATATATGAAATCCATAGTACCCACCCCTGCGAAGCGCTAGCGGTTCTCAACCTGTGAGTCACAACCTCTTTAAGGGGGGTGTCAAATGACTTTTGCACAGGTGTAATCTAAGAGCATTGGAAAACACAGATCATTACAATTTATAATGGCAAAATTACAGATATAGAGCAGCAATGAAAATAATGGTTGGGGGTCACCATGACAGGAGGAACTGTATTAAAGGGTCAGAGCATCAGGAAGTTTGAGGACCACAAAAGCAGAGAGCCAGGGCGAGGGGAGCGTGGGGACTGGCATGTGGAGTTACCTGTCTGTGGAGCCAAGCTTCACTTTCATCCTCGTGTTTCTGAAATGGAATTGGAGCATTAGAAAGGCGCTTTTGTTTGCATGCACTGTCCAGACAACGGTTTAATTCATCTACATGGCAACTGCGCTTGCACAGCATGGCCACCAGGGCCTCTCAGTGTACAGGTAATCCCTGCTCTTCTCTTTGTCCCATACTGTGGCTCACATCCCAGCACCACAAGTGTCCTCAGGCAAGAAGAGTGCCACCGTCCTTAACAACCAGGGCAATCCCCAGTGGTGAGCAGCCCTGTGGAAGTTGATAGCATTTCTAACACTTGGTGGTCACCACTGGCCAGCCTGTGCTCACTTGGCAGCCACACTGCCTGGGTGTGTCTATTTGACCATCACTACTGGTCAGTGTGTCCCTTTAGGGGCAAGCCTCAGGTACTGCTCTGTTTGGAACTGGTGTGTGTGTGTGTGTGTGTGTGTGTGTGTGTGTATGTGTGCATATGTACGTGTGTATATGTGTGTGTGCTAGTGGACACTGTGAATCTAAATTCCAGTTTACAATTCCAGGAAACAATCACAGGGGACAAAGCCAGTTAAAAGGGGTCAAAGCATGTATGGGAATTGCTCTCCAGAGCTATGTGTAAAGTGACACACAAACCATGCCCAGCCCAGATGACTGTTCTGATCAGCTGTTGTCATCAGAGGTGCCACCAGCCTGGTGTTTGTCCTGCACTGCCTGTGACAGTGGCATTGCTGTTCCTTATTGCACTGGGGGCATGACAGGACAGGAACGAAGAAGATTTGGACATTCAGCGCAGATGCCCAACCCCGAGTCCTGCCTACATCACCTTCCTTTTCAGCAAGCCCATCAGAACAACCCAGAGAAAATAGCAACCCAATGAAGGATCAGAGGTAGGAAGAGGTCACTGTGACCTCCTAGAGACACCCCGCCCCAGCAATATGCTGAGAGCTGCCTGGCAGAGCCCACAGATCCAAGTGAACCTGTCCAAGCATGGTGGTTTTGTTACTAGAAAAATAGGAAGATTGGCCTGGACTGGAGTGTCACTTGGTCTTTTAAATTAAATGGGAGGTGACTTTCTTAGGGTTGGGGCTCAGCAATGTGGAAGGCTGACCTACAGAGCAGAGGGGAGTGAGCGCCTGCGCCCTGGCCAGGAGGTAAGGGTACCCTGGGCTTCTTTCTGCTCCTAGACATACTGATGGTCTGCCTGGACCTGCCTTGTCTATGCTGGGGCACCTGACTCTGGGGTGATGATGGGGCAAGCGGTATGCTTGGACTGAACATTTGTTGTAGCTGGGTCAGGCTCTGGGCCAGCCCCATTCTCTTTTGAGAAACAGAGGATGAGGAGAGCAGCGTTCCCAGCACGGCAGCGGCCAGTGTAAAGGGAAACTGACCCTTGCCTGCCTGGGCCCCTGAGTGGGACTGCTGCTATTGCTCTGAGCTGCCAGGGATTTTGTAGCAATATCTGACTTGTCCACCAGGTGGCACCAAACCAAAGGCTGGATATAGCATCAATGACGGAGCTAAGCTAGGCTTTCCATTTCTCCAGCCTGAGGGGTCCCAAGTGATTGGACAACACCTTCCATGTTATGGCCATTCATTCTTTCACCCCTTCTCTGTCCCCATACCTTAGTGCAGACACCCGTGGTGGCATCACAGAGGGTCAGGATGGACACATTCTGGGCTCGGTTCAGCCAGGTCACAGCAACCTTGGTGCTGGTAGCCCACTTCACCATGGTGATGTAGTACTCCCTGAAAAGAAAACCAAGAGTGTGAGCAGGGGCAGTGGACACAGGCTCTGGTCACTCCACTTCTGGACACAGCGCAGTGTGTGTGTAGATGTGGGGTTCTGAAATGTGGCCCTCCAAGAACACATGTGGGTCAAAGCTCCTTATGGAAAACTGAGTGGTTTTCCACTAGGGTGGTTACTTAACCCTGTCCCCACCATCTGGGCTCTGAACCTGAAGCTGGGGACTGCCCTGGCAGTTTGGGGGCTTGTCACATGCTCTCAGTGGGACTCTGCTGACTTCAGTTTCACACCACAGGCCACCAAAGGCACAAGTCTACAAGAGCTGATGCACTGGGCATGTGGGGTGAAGAAGGACCTGGCAGAGAGGTGGGGTGGGCCCTGAGGGCGAGGGCAGGGGCACTGAGTGAGGGGCAGTACAGGGGAGCCTCAGAGGGCTAAGCTCCAGAGGCTCTGAGGCTGGGCTACTGACCGTTCCGTTCTTTTTCTTCATTCTTAAGGGAAAATACCCAGGATGAGGGACAATGACTCTGGCCCCGAGCTTTGGAGAACTTGGTTTGGTGGCACATGCTGGATTTTACCCAAACCTGAAAATACCACCAGGCTCAAAGTAGTCTGATGTTAATATTCTGAGGGTGGGAGGCTTATGCTAATTCTGTCACTCAGGACTCTCCAAAGCTGGGGTGCCCCACTTTACATCAAAAAGGAAGAAGAAAATGTCAAGAAAGTAAGTGCCCCAAATAGGTATCCTCAGGTGACTTCCTACAATGTTCTAGAAGCCAGCTAACACGTTTAGTCGCCTGCCCGTCCTCTATAATGAGATCTGCTGTTGTGTTCTTACAAGATCGTTTATCACAGGCATCAGGCAACCAGGCACTCCCCATGAACTGGGAGTGAGTCTTGCTATACTTAGCTTGTGTTCCACAGAAAGGACTGAAGAGATGGGTACTGGGAGCAAGACCTCTGTTAATCAGGACACTCAATGGCTGACTGCCGCTCATTCCCCAAATCTACCTGCTGATCAGTTTTCAGTCACTGAATCCATAAACAGGTCGAGCACACTGGGTAGGGATGAGGGGAGCCCGGGAACCACCCCACATAGTCCTGGGGAAACTCTGAAGGCCTGTGGGTAAGGAATACGTCACATCTACATTCAAACAGGAGGCGTTTTTTTGTAGACTACCAACTCTCATGATTTTAACCTTAAGTGCTCTGAGATTTCGAAAGCAAGGCCATTTCTGTTCATGGCATCTGTTCTCCAGCCTGCAGGCCCAGCGAGTCTGGGCCCAGTGTTTTTAGGGTCTGTATCCTCCCCTGTACCCCATCCTGGAACCTGCTGAGAAAGGCAGTATTTCCTAGTTACATACCCTAGAGGTGTGCTCCCATATTTCACAGCCTCTTGAGAAAATTGGGAAAATGCCCCTACTGGACTGGCCTTCAGGCAAGCTTTGGTTCATTTTATCGATTGATAATTGATGTGGGAGGGCCCAGATCACTGTGAAAGGTGGTTCTAGGTGCTATAAGGAAGCAGACTGAGCAAGCCATGAGGAGCAGGCCAGTAAGCAGCATTGTTCCATGGCCTCTGCTTCAGTCCTCCACCTTCATACTCCTGCCTTGAGTTCATTCCCTGACTTCCCTAGATGATGGACCAAGAGCTGTAAGGTGAAAGAAACCCTGTCCTCCCCAAGTTGCTTTGGTCATGGTGTTTTATCACACCAGCAGAAAAACATAAAGAAGACATCATGGAAAAGGGTCAGGCCCAGGAGTGTGGTCTATAGGCCCAGGTGTGCGGTGGGCAGTCTCCTTGGGTCATGTGGTCAGCCACTATAAACTTGCAAGCCCCATGTTTAGTAGAGACCCTGTCTCAAAAAATTAAGGTAGCAAGTAATTGAAAAAAATAACTGTTACTGACTGGCCTCCACACATGTGCACACATTTGCATACATACATGTGTGTTCATGTATGCATTCACCTCCACACATGTGTGTACACACTTACTCCTGCATACTTGTACAACACATGTACATACTTTTACTCACATCACATCACACACACTCCTATTAACATACATGGATAATGCTCCTTTGCACTCATATACATGAGTGCACACACATGTACATACATGTACTCACTGCCATACACACACACACACACACACACACACGGATATATACATACAAACACAACAGATGGAGGTCAGCAGCTTGAAGGAACATGTGCTAATGACCTCGTTTTATAGCTGTACACAGGCAGTCAGGGAGTGGGTGGGAGGTAACCATCTCTTACTGCTAGCAACACTACTCATGTAGGGGATGAAGGAGAGAGAATGTGGGCTCTGGGAGAATTGTCTCTCTCATGTCCCACTAATGAGGGACCCATGCCTGCTTGAAGTGTCGGCACCTTCTCTCTGCATCTTTTAGCTATATAAAAGTCGCCTGCACTAGTAGCCAAATGCAGTGGCCCTTATTCTAAACTTCTTATTCCTGATTTATATTTGAAGCACTGTAAATGGAGATAGATGGATGAATATAACCTTCTCTTTTGGAAACCAACCTTCCTCAGTGGGACTTGTAGAACAGGTACCCAAAAGCGTCCTTGAGCTGTATGCTATGGGCTGGGCTGGGCACTTCTGGAACAAGTCATCAAGAAATATCACCATCCCTTGATTCAGGGCTCAGGAAACATGACAGGAGATGGGGAATAAAGAACATAAGAACTGACTGGTGAGGGAGCTAGGGAATGCTGACTTCTCGGTGCAATGAGTCTGTGGCAAACATCAACTCACAGCAGCTGTGCTTGCCTGCACAAGATCAAGCCAGCCAGCATTCCAACTAGGGGAGGCGCCCCCCCCCAGACCCATCTTTGGCAAATAAACTATTAGCCATCGAAGGCTTGGAGGGAGTCTTTGGGGATATGACTGTTGGTAAATAGGTAGCCCACACTCCAGCGGATAGCCACACATGCTTGTGCCTGTGCCAACACAAATCAGATTCAGGGGTAATTAGAAGCAGCATGAAAGGACATGGGATTGGTAGGGCAATACATGACGGCACTAGCGGAAGTTGGAGGGAGAAGTGGTGGACAGATATAAACAAAATACATTGTATGAATATATGGAACTTTCATAAAACTATAGGTCTCCATTTCCAGCCCTGCCCCTAATCAATGTCCTCTAAATGAGTAGATGCTTTGGTAGACAGAGGGATGTAAGGAAATTAGGAGGCAGTTAAGGAAGAAGGTGGGCAGTATAACCCTTCTGAGGAAGTCAGGGCTGGACCTGGCACAGAAGGGTGTAGCTCGTTTGCTCAATTCTCATCTCATTAAATTTTCTGAACAAATGTACATGGATACAGTATGTAATATTTCTGATTCCTTTGTCCAGACATCTTTGTTGAACCTGTTGTCAACACTTATATCTGGAGTTTCCATTTCCTTCAGACAAATTTCCAGATTTCTTTAAGTGCCCAAGGAGCACACTCTTTTATTATTATTATTATTATTATTATTATTATTATTATTATTATATGTCTATGGGAGTTTTACCTGATGCCTGAGGAGTCCAGGAGAAGGTATTAGTTCCCTTGAACCTGGAGTTACGGGCAGTTGTGAGCCACTATGTGGGTGCTGGGAATGGAACCTGGGTCCTCTGGGAAGAGCAGCCAGTACTCTTAACCGCTGAGCCATCTCTCTAGCCCTGGGTGCTTCTTGAAGCTAGCTTCAGGGATACACTTGTGAATGTTGAGAGTGTATTCTCACTGATGGCAGAACAGTCCTTCTTTTCCCGCCCTCTCTTTGCAGGAATCACTCTGCTGGACCTAAGCTGGAAAGGTTTCTGATGGTTCTCTAGGCTAAAGGATGCTATCCACTCACAGTTACTCAGGGTACTCAGGCAGATGCTGTGGACAGTGGGGTTCTACTTAAATAGACACAGGCATTGATGGGCAGGCCCTGCCTGGCTCACAGGTGGGACTGGGCCTGGATGAGCAGGCCGTTAACTTAGCTCAGGGAATTATATAGAGGAAGCAGGTTCTGCTCGAGAGCATATGGGGGAGGGGACTTGTAGCTTGGCTGAGAAGGAGCCTTCAGATCAGATCACAGAGGGGCTTGCTGGTGAGCAGTGGATGAATGTCTGATTAGCTCACTTGTTTGCCATAAAATATGAATGGGTATTGTTTCTCTCACAGGGATTAATGTGCCTTGTCACTTTTTGGTATTTCTGATTTTGGCACAGACAGGCTTTGACAGCCAGTGGCGATAAAGGGCAAAGGGAACAAAGTCCCGTGACACAAAGAGCTTGCAATTAACTCTGGCATCTTTTAAAACAATGTTTGTTTCGTGGATCAAGCTGGAAGAGAACACACTGTGGGAGGGAATTTATTCTTAAAGGAGTGTGCTTTAGCAGAGGGCAGCTCTGAGCAAGTTGCCATAACCCTGAGCACAGTGCTTACAGCGATGAAACTGGCACTACTGTCTGGGTCTCCCTCAGAGACTTTGTGCAACCATCAAGATGCATGCAGGCCAAAGGCACTGCAGACAACAGAGAATGATACATTCACACCCTCTCCGTAATTCCTCTTTCACTGAGATGAATCTCTTTTTTTCCATCACAGTGGGGGGGAAAAAAAAAAGAACCTAGGGCTTGCACTCAACTGTAGAGGGGGCATCAGTGCCACAGCCTATTGCAATATGGAAGCACATAGCCTTTTAGCTCTGAATTGCTCTCATGTGAGATCATTACATTAATGCTAACCACTGAGCTTCCTCCATACTCCTTTCCTGCGTGTGTGTCTCCAGTAGGACAGGGAGAAGGGGAAGGAGTGGCAGTTCCTTTTCTTTTCTGTTTACGGAGGGCAACTGGCAGTCCTAGTTTGCTAATGACTGATCCTTCAATATTTAATGAATGCCTATGTATATGCCATCAGTTTCCCATTTGAAAGATAAGACAGAAAGCTCTCATTTTGTTCTCCAATGAAACAAAGTGGTCTGAAGATAGATAACATTGTAT